ACCACGCGTCCTTTAGCGATGTACATTGGACCACATCCAACCGGCTTAGCTTTACAATCCACAGCCCACGTGCTTGAATCGGTTGAAGCAATTCTTGCCGTTGTACCACAATCTCTCTACAGGGCCAGAACACCCAGGCTCAATCTGTTGCTAATTCCAGGCTATCTCATTCAACGAGGTGTGTCTTTCAGTTCAATCTCACCCTCCAATGAGCAGAACTAGCCGCAATGAGACGATTTCCAGGCTACACCAACGTTTCACGTTTCGCCCTAGTAGCCAACGCTGAAGAGACCCACTTCCACCTGCTGCACTGTTATATACGCAATCAGCCAAGTATGGAAGGCCATCGATTCATAATAAATCATTGGAAAGCCAACAAGGCAAAATACTCGTAACAATAAATAGATATCATAATAAAAGTGATTAAGAATTAAAAGAGTTTTTAAAAAATATAATAGACATGTTCATGAAATTTGTTGTTGTTACGAGACACTACAGTACTTTGATATACCGTAGAACCTCTATTAAGGGGACACCTTTGGGACTTCTCATATGGGTACCCATATTCAAGGGACACTAACCAAAGCGTGAAATTGTACCATTATTAGAGGTGTTGGTATAAAGTTTTCAAAATTACAAAATTTTATTATTATTGACCTAAAAATGAGTTACATTTTAACAAATTTGTATCAATAATTTTTAATGCAAAAATTATTTACCGGTAAACATGATATCAGCAGTAATGTAATTAAAACTACTATAGTTATATTATATTCCCATATTTCATGATGGTAATGGTAAGAGTAATGGTTGGAGACTTATATAGTGCACAGTACATGGTCTCTATGCGCAAAACAAGATAAAAAAAGAAAAAAACAAAGCTATCCTAGGCTACACAGAAACTAGTCAGAAGAGACATACTATTGCAGAAGAGCCAACACCATTGCGATTGTAATCCTGCAATTTGAGACCACTGGCAATTAAGCAGCAGTTGGCAAGATCACAACTCACAGACGCTCTAATGGTGTTGGGTAATTAAATAGCCCATCAAAAATATGAAAATCAAAAATTACAAGGTTGAAAAAAGGTGTGTTTTAAGTCTCAGTAGAACCCAAAGTAGGGTTCTACTACGTAGCATTGGTCATATATTTTGTATCTTGGACGGGATTTCTATAATATTATCTGGAGGTCTTGGGTCGTGGGAAGCTATGGCAAAAAATGCTTGTCCTAAGAAGTAAAAGGTAACCGTCCGTAGGATATATAATTAATTAATTTCATTCTCTTTTGTCTTGTTTTACTGTGTGTGTTGAGGTTCCGTAATGATCATCTTCGGATTACCCTCATTAAAGTTTGTTGAAATAAATTAAATGAATAATTGATCGAGCCTAGGTCTATGTAAGCCATCCAATGTAACTGATGTTTACAATTAAAAAAAACATAATAAAATAAAAATTAACATTAAGACATTAATATTATACCAAGTGACTTTTCTTTTATATTGTGAAAATGCATTTCATTTCAAATACCTAGAAGCTGAATAGGCCTATGTATGTTATTTGTAAACTACAATGATCATTTATAATCAAGTGTTTTCAGCACAAAATAATTTACTACCATGAAGAATTTATTATTTATTTATAAAACGTATGGCACACATAGACTAATAATTGACGGCTGTACTTTTTTTTTGGTGTGAAGATGCATTTCATTTCAAATACCTAGAAGCTGAATAGGCCTATGTATGTTATTTGTAAACTACAATGATCATTTATAACCAAGTGTTTTCAGCACAAAATAATTTACTACCATGAAGAATTTAATTTTTATTTATAAAACGTATGGCACGCATTGACTAATAATTGACGGCTGGACTCGCAACTAGTATCAGATTGTCGATGCCACAGTAAAGATCAAAGGACTGTATACATGCGCTATGCTTGCGAGCGGAGAAGTGCGTCCTTTAGTTGAATTGCCTTGGTTAACAAATTTTTACCAAATTTTCGTGCCTGAGCCCCAACCATAGACTATAATGGTAATGATGCTGAATTTTCCTGTATAAGAGTGTCATTTTCATCTAGAGGTACTGTCACATATCCATATTACCACTAGACCATAATACATATGTATTAGAGGTAATGACACATATCCATATTACCACTAGACCATAATGCATATGTGTTGGAGGTACTGACACATATCCATATTACCACTAGACCATAATACATATGTATTAGAGGTAATGACACATATCCATATTACCACTAGACCATAATACATATGTGTTGGAGGTACTGACACACTAGACCATAATACATATGTATTAGAGGTAATGACACATATCCATATTACCACTAGACCATAATACATATGTGTTGGAGGTACTGACACATATCCATATTACCACTAGACCATAATACGTATGTTGATACAATTTTCAATATTTGGTTATTATCCCATGATGCATTGCATGTACGAATAAATTAGTTTACATCTTGATGGAGAAGTTGTTCGTCTGAGTAAAGTTCGACAATGGATAACAGCAAGAGTGATATCTAAACACGCTACTCCGAGATCTTACGTTGTCGCTACAGAAAATGATGAAATCTACAGGCGCAATCGCCGAGACCTAAATCAATCGCACGACAAATCGATAAAAGGAGACGTTGTTGACGTCCCTGCGATTCAAGCCGAACCCAGTCAGGCAGAGCGACAGATGGAGGTTGCGAACATGACACGTCCAACACGGAATAGGCATATGCCTAAACGTTTTGAGGAATTTTTTTTGTACAAATTATTAGGGTCTATTAGACTGTAAGTTTCAGTGTTTATTGAACATGTTTACTTTTAAAAGAAAGGGAGATGTCACATATAAATATTACCACTAGACCATAATACATATGTATGGTACAGTAATTCCATGTTTGGTTATTATTACATCCTATGATGCATTGCATGTACTGTATGAATAAATTAGTTTCCATCTTGATCTCCAACCTGGTCTCGTGTGTTATTTCTATGTGCAATTAATAGTTGCATATCTAGGTTCATAAGAGTTTATAGGTACAATTCACCAAAATGTTCACGCCTTAACCCTCAACCATGGTGTGGCTGAGGTGGGTGTGGTCTTACCGAATGTCCCCACCCCACCTTTTAAAACAGATCTGCGCCCTTGTCAGAATAACAAATCACAAAGAGGTGAAGCTTGCTGGGCCCTTTTAATTTAAGATAATCTTAACCGGTATGTCTTTGAAAAAGTTTGGCTTGCTAATAAACTAGTTTATAACATTGACATTGTATCACAAAAAAAATGATTAACATGAGACCGTGGATGTGTATTGAAAAATTAAGAGAGTAATACTTACCGTAACCGAAAAGAATGACCTCACAGAGAGTCAAATATTCGCTAATCCCTGTAAGTTGCACTGTAACAAATCTACCGTGCATAAAACGCACACAGTCTATGCGTAACTCGTAACCCATGCTTGTCATTTCATCATCAATAACTGATCCGCATCGTGGGTTCACCCCTGGTTTCCGGCTCATACCTATTCCTACCTCAGCTCCATTTAGTCGATGTTCTGTTATTAGAAATGTGTAAGAAAATTATTATGAAGAAGAAATAGTAACCAAAGAAAAAAAAAAGTAAGAAGGTGAAAACCACAACTAACATTAACAATAGAATACTGTAATTAGGTACAGTTTTACTGATAGAATAATAGTTGACAGTAATTGATGTATGTTACTGTAATAATATCAAAGATTTACATACCAAATCTTTTTCTATTAAAGCCCCAAATCCCTTGAAAAAATGTTCACTAATAAAAGAATGTTTTTTAGAAAAAATGCAATGCATTACTCTAATTATTATAAACCATGGAAACATGTTGGCATAAATTTTAGTTTTATGCAAAAGGATAAATAAAAAATCATATTTTTTAACAAATTTGAAATAATTCCAATGAAATATTATATTTCACAAATGTTAATACTAGCAACAGAAAATATCATGTCGGCTGATTTTATGTCTGATAAAATAACAGAAACTAAATCGAGGTAGGCTAACCTAGCAGTGTTGGATACGCTAAGGTTTCCGGCGCCTACAGTATTTCTTCCCAGACCTAAAAAATCATTCACGTTTATCAATCAAATTTCAGTTTCTTATTTTACTTTTTTCCATGTTTAGGAATGTCTAAATTCAGTTAGACTAGCATTTTCGTATTATATTTACAAATTATTACAACATAGCCTATATAAAAATCAGATTTTACTTCACTGAAATTTTGCCGGGAATGGGGCTTTAAATATATCAAAATATCATATGCCATAGATAATTTCAAGATCCAACATGAAAACCTCAAATAACAAGAATAATAGGAGAATGTCGTATTACTGATAGATTGGTAGTTGACAGTAATTGATGTATGTTACTGTAATAATATAATATTTTACATACCAAATCTTTTTCTATTAACTATATCAACATATCGTATGTCATAGGTATTTCCCAGATCCAACATCCACCAAGGCTGAAACTCCATACCTAGTTAATAAGACATAACAAGGTTTTAAAAAAAAACTGCAGGTTTACAGCTCTTATTGAAAAGCGTTATCAATTCATCGAATTTACAAGACTGAAGTCATGGCTTAACCTTAAGTCTCAGATGCCGAACTTGAAAATGGAGGGTTACAAGCTGTAATCATGGGGTTTTTGCTCTTCAATATCTATACCAATGATCTTATTCCTCTTTTCAAGCTAAAAGTGCCTGTTTTGTTTCCTACAAACGCTTTCTTTATTTCACACATGTTAGTCCATCTTTAGTTATCGGTTCTTTCATCTTTAATTCAATTTCTAAATGTAACTCTAAACAAATTGCCAGTATACACTTTAGGTTCTTGGGCTTTATTAGTCCTAAAACATTTTGACCTCGTGGTAATCACGCTCAATATGTCCGTCATACTTTGACCTTTTGTTATATAGTAATAATGACAATAATAATGATAATATTGAAATATTATATTTTTTATGTTTATGTTTGCAATTTTCGCCTGAAATAAAGCGTTTCTGTTGGACAATTGTTGAAAATAAATAAAATAAATGAATAAATACAAATTGTAGTATTCCTATGACAGGCTCCACGTATAACTATTATCATCATCACCATTGTAATCGCCATCACATTCTTCCACAGTTGTATAAGGTTGAATAAACCAGAATAAATCAACATTTATTCACAAATTCTACACAAAATAAAATACACAAAGTCCACGTAAACTTACGAGAATGTGTGCACGATTTCATATAGGACCTAGCATCGCCATCAATGGCAAATCTTGACAGGTATCCGTAGTTGCCACTATCTATATAAGTGCTGCTTTGCTCTGTATGTACTTGGTCTGACAGGACAAGTGGATCTACGTAATACAAGACATTTTTAACAATAATGGAACTAAAATATTAATAGTAATACAGGTATAGTAATAATAACTAAAATTGCTATGTCTGATTGTAAAACACAACAAAGGGCTTTTCCCTATTGACATAATGAGAACTGATGTCAAAATTAAAAGGTAAAAACAAATTATATAGGAGTGATGTTTTGTCCTACCTGACGTGATATCGTACCGAATACAGCTCAGTACGTCCCCATATACTTGCAAACCCACGACCTCTAGATAACTAGCTTGGCGCCATAACCACTAGACTAGCTTGTGCTTAGTGTGCGTTGAATCCAACCCCCAAGTGGCAGCGGGTACTGCAAATGCTATTTCGATGTGAGTTTGCGTCAGGAAAATATCATAGGAGTGAATTGCACTTGCAGTACCCGCTGCTACTGCTACCTAGTTTTGTGTGTTTTTGAGGTCCCAGACATAAATATCTCTTTCAAAAAAATTGATGGGGTAAGTGAAACTTACTATAACACTACAGTTTGTCAAGTCTAGTAAACAAATGATTAAATTTTGTGACAATTCGGAGTAGAGTGTGGATATGAGGCCCATTCAAAGAAAACATTCCAGACCAGATATTTCAATAATGGATCAACTGAAATGAAACATTCACCAAAGTTTAACCAAGTTACAAGGAAGAAATTATTGGGGACAATCCAGTTGAGAGTGAAAATGTGAGGGTCAGTTAAATTTCTGACATCCAGACCTAAATATCTCTAAAATGTTTACATTTTTGTGACGATTCAAAGTACGGTGTTGATATGAGGTCCATTCAAAGGAAAACGTCCCAGACCAGATATTTCAAAAACGGGTCCGAATAAAACTTTTGGGAAAGTTTAACCAAGTTACAAGGAAGACATTGTTATGTGTTGGGGACAATCCAGGTTAGGGTGTAAATTTAAGGGTCATTTAAATTGCTTATGTCCCAGTTATAAATGGAAGAAAATGAAACTTTGCAGAATACTTTCCAAAGGTTAAATGAAGAAATGATCCAATTTTGGTGATGATCCGCAGTAGGGTTTGGATATAAAGACCATCTAAAGATTTTTTTGGACAGTTGATTAAATCATATAAACGCAATAAAGCGTTTGAACCAGCTGCAGCTAGGTTAAACTGAAAACTACCGTGATATGCATGAACAATTTTTGCTTTCAGTCACTGAATCTCTGTAAACGGAAAATTCACTGGCTAATACAGGGTCGGCTCATATAGCGCGCAGTGGTTATGAGCTACTTTTCTTTTTTTTTTTCTTTTATATTGTTTTTCCTGTCTTTAGTAGCTTTCCATGCTTGAGTATTTTTCCATACTTGGTCGAAGCGCAGACCATGTATGAAGGATGTGCCTCCTAATATTTAGTGTTAATCTAAAGTAGGGTGGCTTTAGTCCACATGTAAAGTGTATAGATGCACTGCGCAATATGCGCTATATAAATGTAGATTATTATTATTATTATTATTATTATTATTGGCCTTTCACAGCAGTACTGGAAAAAAGCCATTGTTTTTGTCCTGTTTTTTTTTTTTTCTTTTTTCTTGAATATATTTTTCCTATCTTTCTGCACTGTTTTTTTCTGGCCATCACTTTGGTCACTTCCTATGCTTAGAATTTTTCCCTGCTTTGCTGAAGCAGAGGCCATATATCAAGGATGTGCCTAATATTTAGTGTCAATCTATGGTGGGGTGTGCGTGTGAGGACCAAATAAAGTGATTTAACGTCAAACAGTCTACACCGGATATTTGATGTGAATGAAATTTATGGGAAAGTTTAATCAAGTCACAAGGAAGACATTTTTTTATGTGTTAGTGACGATCCAGTGAAGGGTGTAAATTTGAGGGTCTTTTCAATTTTTGAGGACTCGGACCTAAATATATCTTTAAAAAAATCAATGGGTCTAAATGAAACATTCTATAATACTCTGTAAAGGTCTTGTAAAAAAATTATAAAGTTTTGTGGCAATCCGCAGTATGGTGTAGATCTGACAGTCATTTAAAGGAAAACGTCCTGGACCACATAATAATTTTGAAAACGGATCAACTGATCTGAATGAAACATTCGGAAAAAGTTTAACTAAGTTACAAGGAAGAAATTATTATGTGCTTGA